GGAGCTTAAATCAAGCAGGTTATTCTTGAAGCTTTTAGAAGCTGTCCTTAAGACTGGAAACAGGATGAATGTAGGAACCATACGCGGCGGCGCTAAAGCCTTCAAGCTTGATGCTCTGCTTAAACTCTCTGATGTTAAGGGCACAGATGGGAAGACAACTCTGCTTCACTTCGTTGTACAAGAGATCTCCAGGTCTGAAGGAATCAGAGTTTCAGACAGCATCATGGGACGGATCATGAACCAGAGATCAAACAAGAACAGAACAGCCGAGGAGAAAGAAGAAGATTACAGAAGGATGGGGCTCGATCTCGTCTCGGGTCTGAACACAGAGCTAAGAAACGTGAAGAAGACGGCAACGATTGATCTGGAAGGTCTCGTTAGCTCGGTGTCGAATCTGAGAGACGGGTTAGGGCAATTGAGGTGTCTAGCGAGCGAGAAGCTGAAAGGGGATGAAGAAAACAGAGCATTTGTTAGTTCGATGAGCTCGTTCTTGAGATACGGAGAGAAGAGCTTGGAGGAGTTGAGGGAAGACGAGAAGAGGATCATGGAGAGAGTTGGCGAGATCGCAGAGTATTTTCATGGAGATGTGAGAGGAGATGAGAAGAATCCGTTAAGGATCTTTGTGATTGTTAGGGATTTTCTTGGGATGTTGGATCATGTTTGTAGAGAATTGAGGTGTGTTAGGGTTCCTAATAGCCCTAGCCCTCTCGCTCCGTTTCGATGAACAATGTTGACTATGAACAGAGAGTTGATTGTTTGGTTTTTGTAGGAAATTATCTTCTGAAATTTCTGAGTTGTTTATGATAACAGAGTAAGATTCAGAGTTTTGAGTCTATGGAGAGTTATGTGAAGATCGATGGATATGTATGGATTTGTACATGTATCATATGCTAAAAATCATGACAGACAAGAATATTTCAATGGATTATATGGAATTTCATTCTGTTTTATTTTTTTCTTCTGCAGAGTTTGAGTGTTGTTAGATACGCAAAACCAGAAAATCCTCTGTTTCTCAATATCAGTGAGGTGAAAGATAATTCATCTGGTTATGTACATATATATTATACATAAAGCTTGATAAATCACTTATTTTCTTGAAATACAACAAAATATCATACGATACTGATTACAACTTCTTTATTGAACAGAACAACAATGCATAGGGAAGAGAAGATGCGGAGCTAACGAGTTCTTGTGCTTCGATGCTTGTTTCGGCCAAAAGTCTTGATGAACCACTCATGCTTGTATGTCACCACTATGTATCCGATGGTTAATCCAAATATCACTCCAGGTGCAAAGCCTAACCATGCTGCTTCCCAACTAAACCATTCCG